CTGACTGACTGTATGTTTATTTTTCAAACGTCTGGGAATTTAGGAGATGAAAACATACCTCACGTCTGACGCTGCTACTAACATTCGTCAAATCTGCCTGCCTTCCAAATGTCTGAGAATCTTGAACAGACGGATTTGTTTCACGCCTCAGGCTGCTACTAACAATCGTCGAATGACTAGGAGGAGGATGTCGCACTGCTAAGTCTGCAAGAATACGTTCAGTGATTCGATCCGACCACAAGTCACTGATTTCATCTTCCTCACTGCGACGAGATAGGTCCTGCGCTTGATTCCTTTTCCACTGAGCATAAATGCTTCGAATCGGCCGACCAACACGTATAGGCAACAAAACTGACGAATCTGCACCAGTATAACCAGTTACTGCACGATCACTGGTAGCAGCGTCGCCCGCTGCTGCATGGTCGCCGGCAGCAGCGTCGCCCAACGTCAGCTGAGGAACTACAGCGCTTTCGCCGGCTGCTGACTGATTGCTCACACCGCTGCTTTCATCATACACATTTTCTGCCGTACTGTCTGAATTTAGGCCACGCGCTCTTTCAATTTGTAAAACAGGCAAACCAGACGGTCTGGCCAGTGCTGTGAACAGCGTCCAATACTTCGGAGACTTCGGATTGCGGCCTCTGCTTCTTCGCGTTCGCGCCGAACCACCCATCACCGATTTCTGGATACTGCAGCCACTACGGCTTCGACCCACTTCAATTCCGAATGGTTCCAGTCTGTTGCCGTTTCGTCCAGTTTCGGCTGCCACCGAACCGCTCTCGCTACTAAAATAATCGAATTCAACCGCCGAAAGTTCGGTTTCGCTGCCGCTCCGTTCCATTACGATGTCTAACGGTTCTGTACTGCGGCTGCTCCGCTCCGTTTCATCTAAAGACGAGTCGTTACCGACACCTGAAAAGTCTATTTCGACCACCGGCAATGCAGTGCCGCTGTGGCTTCGTCCCATGCCAGTTCCCAGTGCTAGCACATCGTTAGCGTCTTGGTCCGCATCAACCGCTAAGGGACGGGTGCTCGCGTAGCGTCGAGCAGTATTCGAGAACCAGCTTTCGCTAACATCTTCATTCTGTCCCGCCAAAAGGGCGTCGGTTACTAATTCATTCTCTTCGTCGCTGCTTATTTCGATGTAAGATGGCAAAGGTGACTGTTCTCCAGTCACAGCTGGCAGCTCTTCCCACAGATTTGAGGCTGTATCACCACCAACATTATTCGCTCCTCTTCCACGACGTGTATCACGCGCAAGTGGCCAAGCACCAACTCCAAGGTTACGCTCACGCACTATTCCTCTGCTCTGCTCCAATATACTGTCGTTATTTTCATTAGAATTTTCCTGACCTGCTTGATCTCCCGAGCCTTCTTGATTTCCTTGTGCTTCTCCATCTGAAATTTGCATAACATGAGAACAAGAAAAGCCTTAGGTAGCGATGCACCACGCTTGCCCGGTGATTTATATGCCCCAATTTTCGTGTGCCAGTACGTGAAACGTAGAGGGGCGAGAAATGTAACCAGTACTCGAATGTGAAGTACTTATTCTAACATACTTACTTATTCTACAATAACATACTCATTCTACAAACTTCCCTGTTTATACGTTTTTGCCGTGCAGCGCTAGAGCGCTGTAACAGGCAGCAGAAACGCATGCTGCAACGACCCTGTCAGTGTATGTATGTGTATATATGTTTGTTCGTCTGTCCAGGTATTTCAACTCACCAACCACGTAAGCTTTGAAGCTGAAATTTTGCCAGTGTGTTCCTCAACCAAGTGCCACCCCAGGACCGCGGTATCAACTCTCACGCACATTTGGACCCCGCGTACAAGCACGTGAAAATTTTGGCGGGAAAATTGATAACTCGGGAACGAGAAAAGCTAGAAAGCTGAAACCTTGGGAGAATATTCCCTGCCCATGTATGACAAAAAGATTTCAAATTCAGCTGCCCAGGAGTGCCCGAGGTTTCAGCTGCCCAGGAGTGCCCCACGTGAAAATTTTGGCGGGAAAATTCATAACTCGAGAATGAGAAAAGCTAGAAAGTTGAAACTTTGGGGGAATGTTCCACACCCATGCACGACCAAAAGTTTTTAAACTCAGCTCCTTAGGACCGCTAGGGGCTCACGTGCGGGCACGTGAAAATTATGGCGCGAAAATCAATAACCCAAGAACGAGGAAAGCTAGAAAGCTGAAACTTTAAGGGAATGTTCCCTACTCATATACGAGCAAAATCAGGTGTTTA